TGAAGGCCCATGGCTCTGTTTAGTGTACCAGTCGAGGACCAAATTTCCAGCAGCAATCTGGCCATCTTTTCGTTGGCTCGGCCTATTACCCTTGCTTCTTCAAGGGCGAATGTGTGTTTATTATGCTTTACGTGGTCATAGACCAAAGACAGCTTATCCTCGCGGTTGATTGCGAGCTGATGCCCATGCAACCTTGTGCCAAGGCGTCTGCCCGTTTCAACGACATAACTTGCAGTGCAGTCTTGGCATGGTATGCTGTAGACCACAGCTGATTGCTCAGTCAAAGGTAGCGGGTCTCTGGGCCTCATGAGCTGCTGTGTGGTGGTTGATTCCGGCCTATGAGCCACACCGATACCGAATGGTTTCAGGATTCTTGCAGCCGCCTCTGATACATTCTTCACACAAGGGAATGCGAGCCAGAACTTAGAGTTCTCTCCTTTCGACCGCTCATGGTGGGGCTTCTTATGACACCTGCATACAAAGGACTTCGGATAACTGTCGGCATTAAATAGGGCATGCAAGTAATCAATATCCTCCTTTTTCCCACTTTCTTCATTGCAGTGTGTCTGAACGCTTTGGAAGAGGGTCCTGACACAACTGCTTTTGTGACCAACGGGATGGTTGCTTCTGAAGTGGAGAATGCGCGTGGTATTGGTTGCCTTGCGGTAGACCATTGTCCTTATCTTGCCGTCTTCCAGCTTCGTTACTTGTACGTCAAGGAAGGGTAATTGATTGTTGACTTCCTCTTCGATGGTGAACTGGATGTCAGCAAAGATGGAAATCAGCAGTGTTTGAAAGCCTGCACTTTGCTCCTTTCGATGACAACAAATGTGTCGTCAACGTATCTGATCCAGAACTTCGGGGAAGACGAGCTGAAGACCAGCCGCTCGAGCCTCTGCATAACAGCTTCGGCAATAAGGCCAGACAGAGGCGAGCCAATCGGTGTCCTCTTCTTTTGTTCGTAAACTTGGCCATTAAACGTAAAGAACGTTTTTAGGCACAGTTCTAGGAGCTCGATGATGTGCACTCGCTTGAGCTTTTAGTCGGTTTCGTCGTATTTTTCTTAGAGAAGACCATCAATAGGCTCGATAGCCAGAGTGGGTGGAATAGATGTGAACAATGAATCACGTCAAACGACAGCATCGCCTCGCCTGCCTCCACTTCCAGGTATTAGATGGGGGTCAAAAACTCTTTAGCAGACTTCACTTTCCACTGTGAATCCTTGATAAGAAAGCACAGTCGCTGATACAACCACTTTGACAACCCAAAAGTTGGGGTACCTCGTAAGAATACGATGGGGCGTAAGGGTACTCCTGGTTTGTGCAACTTTGGTAGATAGCAGAACCGTGCCATTGCAGCACCGGTGGCCTTCGCAGCCAGCGCCTCTCTTCTCGTCAGAGCTTCCGACTTCCTCAGTTTGTCCACCGCTTTGTTTATGTTGTTCACGAGCTTTTTCAACTTGCTGATAGTCGATGGTGCGTAGGAATCCTTGTCCATCAAGAGGTCGTTCACTTTTGCTCCATACTCCACTTTATCCATGACGACCGTCGAGCGTCCTTTGTCAGCGGGCAGGGTGACGATATCTTTCATTTTTCGTATCTTCAGAAGTTCCCGTTCTTTTGCTTTAGATATCGTAATTTGGCGTTTGTGTTGAAGGAGTAAAGTCGTAACT